TTTTGCTTTATTCAATAAAGTCCTTAATTTTTATTCACTTAATTTCCCCATTTTCAAGTTTGCATTTTTGTGTACTTTTACTCACTTGACACCAAACTCAAGCTATTTTTAGAACTCGTAGCTTCAACTTGCCGTAACAGATGTTTTGACCAGTGTGTTCCAGCAAAAGCACAATAAAAAGCATCTTATTGACCTTTCAAGTTACAAATTGCTCCTTATTTACACATCCAGTAGCTAAAGTCAACTTCATTAATCATTTTGAAACGTATTAGTGGCCTCCTAGAGGATACAAATCAAGTGGCTTCACTTTTTTAGTCTTTGCCACCTTTCTGAAGAAAGTGGCCGACTCTTTAGCCGCCACATGCTTTATTTCTATCAACTAACTTTATCTGTCTGTTGGTAAATAGTGTGCAAAGATTTATTTTATGTATTTTGTTGCATTGAGATCGCTGACAGTAAAAGTGTTTTTAGGATGTTGTAGCTCTTTTGTTCAGGGTTCATCGTGCCGCCCATCTTCTAAACTGGAACATTAACGATCAATGAGCTTCGCTGTCTGTAGCTTTAAAAGTCAAGTTACCTTTGTATTTGTAATGGTTGGACCATAAGTATTTCATTTTGAGCCCAGCTGGGAGGCGCCTGTTTGCAGCTGGATTCAGGCTGTGATTGAGCCGTAATTCTTTAGTCGCTCCCTGAGCTCAGATCCAGCTTTATGTGCAGATGATCACCCATCGTCTTGCAGGGCCAGAGCCGCTCGGGTTAGCCAGGTGCAGGTTTATTTTTGGAAGATTTGCTGAGGATCAGGGGGACTGGGTCTTGTTGAGCATGGAATGTGTGGGTGATGATAGAGAGGCTGAAGAGGGCAGCGCTGTAGCTCCGAGTGTCATCTACAGATGGAGACGATAAAGCTCAGGTCAAAACTGACTGAACGATTGTGAAGCAACAGGTTAAAAACTAAATATGACATTTGGTTGCATGTTCATGACTGTAGAAGAGACGGACAAGAAGAAAGAAGCTGGAGAAAAGGACTTCTTGTGTAGGAACTGAAAATATCCCAAACGTGTTTTTTAAAGCCCAGAGCCAGAATCTTGACGGAGAGAAAAGGCACAAATGGAGAGGCAGAAGAAAGGACGGCTGCTCGTTAGCAAAACTCTGGAGTCGAAAAGGAACGTGGCTTCTGCAAAAATAATCACAACTGTCCAATTCTGGATCAAGCAGAAAATTAAAACTCCTCACTTAAAGAGGGACTAATACATTTCTAACAGAATACTTCTTGTTTTGGCCATCTTCTTTTTGTAATAAACATCTTCCGTAGCAACAAACAGGTGGCGTCAGTTTTAGAAAGAGCCGCAGAACGTGACGGCAATAACTAAAGAGATGTAACACGTGCAGGAGGAATAACGAGTCTTCATCTGCACTTCTTCTTGTTCCAGTATAAAAATCAATCACTGACTTTGTTCGTATGCGCTGAAGGATAACTACGAATAAATATTAGCTCTGAAATGTTATGTCACTCTTTGCAGTTTTTGCAGCTGCAATAATTTTCATTTCACAGCTAAAAGAATAAAAAATGTCCAAAGTTAGAAATGCACATTCTGTGTATGGTTTACACTGACATTGTGTGAAATTAAAAATTAACCTTCAATTTCTCCCTCTCTCTCTAAAACAACCTGAGAGTACTTTGAGTGATTTGATGGGATTTTTGTTTAAATTAAAAACAGAAAAGATTTTGTTTCTGTGGAAATGGTATGAATGCTGCGTGCTGAACATCTTCGCTAAAATCATGGAATCTGATCTTATCAGAACCGTGGCTTAAAGCATCTTAAATGAAGATTGTAGTTAAAAGGATTGTAAAAAGACTAAATTAAAGTAAAAGTATGGAAACACATTTCAGAGAACACTGTTATTGAATCAATTTAAAAATCTCAGCTTTTTTTAATGTGGAAATCGTTTGTAAATAAAGTTAAATAATTCAAAAACTATAAAAATTACAAATATTAAAGAGTTATGGGTTAAACATAACGGAGTACGTGGAGGTACGTAACTGCAAGAAACGTATGGAACAGACTCAACAAGTAAACAGTCAGCAAGTAAACAGTCAGCAAGTAAACAGTCAACAAGTAAACAGTCAACAAGTAAACAGTGCGTGGTGTTGCGTTAAAAAAGGTCCCCTTGTAGTTCGGATGCATCACTCTTTCTTCAGAGCCCCCCCCTCCCGGTGTCGTCATCCCTCTGCTGATAGGACGTCTTTCTGCTAACCATGTGACCAGCTCTCAAACAACGATGACCTCATCCTTGATGCTTCAAAACGTTAAGTGTCAGGTTTGTTGTCAAAAACAGGCGTGCAACTAAAACTCCTCCCTCAACTTGAAACGAAGCATCTGCGTTGTTTTTTTTACACGACGAACTTCAAATAATCACACGTTTCATCAAGATGGTACAAATAATGTTGGTAAACTACGTTTCAGTGGGCGCTGTTGAACAGCGTGGAGTGAGAGTTTTGATAGGACTAGGAGCGGCTGCCTGAACATTTAAAGTGTCCTTATTTTTGGGACATCCGTCCTCTGGGAGTTGGTTTGTGAGATTAATTTCTTTCCGTCAAATTCGAGACTCCCTCCTGTCAAACATCCGCTCCAAGGACTATTTATAACCAGACGCCCTCTCGGAAACACTAATGAGTCTCTAGGTGACAAATGGATTTGGAGGACACCTCGCAAACCGTGGCGTCTCCTCTCCGCTGCCCCTTCCCCCCCCCCCCCATCGCTCACGTCGCCCCTGGCCCAAATCTCCCTTCCTCTTTCTTTTAAAAACTATTTTTATGTCGCTCACACTCCTTTCGTGTTCACACCTCACACTGACCCAGTTCTCCTCCAGTCACTTGATCAGTCGCTCCCCTCTTCACCAGCCTCCTTCTGTCAGCTGATTTATATTCCCGTTGTAATTTGTGGCTCTTTAAGTTTCATCCCTCTCTCTCTCTCTGCAGCTTGTTCTGACTGTCTGTCAAATCTCCACCGCTGGTTCCCTCCCCATGCTGCTGTGGTGTTTGGGCTGGTTGTAAGTCAGTGCATGTGCATAGTGGATTAGTGATGGGGCCGCTGTGCCAAGTGCTCAGGGGCTCCGAGGCAGAACATTTAACAGCTGTCAAATTTAAGTTTCGTTCAGCCAACAGGTGGCGTGAAGAAAGGAGGAACAATCACCAACAAACATTTCCTGATGACTCTCTTTATAATAAATGTTCAAGTGTTCTCACTCCACCTCTAGGCCTTTAGAAGCTTGAACAGCATAACATCCGGTGTGTATTCAGGGAGGCAGCCTTCCTGTGGGTGCAATTGGCAGAAAATTGAAAGTTAATGGAGAAAATGTTTTTTAACATCTGGAACTGATCACTAGAAGCAACAACAAACATCAAAGGATAGTTAGTTAAAGCAAAAACACATCCGAACGTCTCATTTTTGCATTAACTTTTCTTACTGCTATAGTTTAAGCTATTTTAAAATGTTAGCATTAGCTAATCTTTTCCTGCTAGTTTAGGTCATTTTGAGTGAGATGAAACACATAATTGCAACAATGACATGTCACCAGTTAAAACCATTTAATATGTGTGAACAATTGGTGTGATGGAAACTGAAAATATGTCATTTTTTTTAGCTTTAGATAAAAATTTGATGAGAAGATTTTAAATATGATGTGCCATGAAAGCAGCACAACAGTGAGAATATAAAGAAATGAGACACAGCCATAAAACAAAGCCTTAAATCAGAGCAATAATATAAAACTGATGGATTCACAACAGCTAAATCGTTGAAACCTTCATAAACACATCGATGTAAATCCAACAAGAATACTTTGCATCATTTAGTTTTATGTGAAATATTTAGTTCTGGCAGAGAAGCAATTGTTGGTACACTAGTTCCTTGTTTATCGCGGGGGATCCGTACCCTGAAGCCCTGCGATAAGTGAAAAACTGCAAAGAAGGAAAAGTAGTACCAGTAGTAGTTTATTATATATATATATATATATATATATATATATATATATAT